CTTGAGGTGGTGTAACTTCAATACGATTATATTTTCTAGACGATAGTTACGGCGGGTCTTAAAGTATTATCTTGCCCTTTAAAATCGGTTTTAAATTCTGAATATTTCAAAAACCTGACGTAGGAAATTTTTTGAAACTTTGACGTTTGCATTGAATAATTAAAAATCGTTCCTTTTAGTAAAATAAAGCCTAACAGAATACCAAACTTTTGAAGATCTTCCTGGGCTCTCAATTTAATTGTAAATATCTTTTTAAATTTAATTTTCCTATATGATGTAGTGATAGTGGTCCAACTCATGGTCTACAGAAATTATTCCATGAACATCGCGCTGCTATCAGGCCGTTGAATTTCGTTGTTTAAAATTATTTGGCCAAACATTAATTTGGAAAATAAAATTTAAACTAGCCTAAGTGCTCTCTTCGCCATTGATCGACCTCTCCGAATAAAATGCCATTTTCAGTCGGTTTGCTTTTCCGACTTGCTTATGAGCGTGACAACCACGTACAGCCTGACGTTTCCACCGATTCCGCCGTCTGTCACTTGTGAAATTGGGCGGCTGACATGTTTGCCACTGTTTTTCCTTTTTCATTGCTCATGTTAGAGTAGGTAATTTTTTAATGCATTTAAACGGCTGTCAAGTGGCCCACACACGCCACTTCACCTCTGAATCCGCACTTCAAAGCCGCTCTGCCCCCGCCTTGGTTTTCAGTTTTACAAAGTGACGCGACGCGAGCAGTTGCCCAAAAATATGCAAAACCCGGCGAGCACTTACGACAGGCCCCGGCGTTAGGAAGGTAACATCAGGTCGTGCCATGTATGCAGCCCGAATTTAGACATTCAACGTATAGTTTGTAGCTCAGGTTCCATACACCGAAGTGTGAGGCCAAATGCCAATAAAGAAATAATTTCTACGTCCTGTTGATGGAAAAGGCCGCCGTGACTCTCGAAGCTTTAATTTCTTTAGTTATCGGCACAAAAGTATACTTACTGTGTGTACCCTTCATGGGGAAGATTCACCGGCTAACAAATTTGAGAGAGGATATTAAGCACTCTTGAACTGTTCGAGCCTAGGGTCTACGCTTTGCAGAACATCTAGGCTTCGTTATTATAGAACGTGATTTTTATTGCCCTTTGTTTTCGCCACTCACAACGTCGGCTCGCTTGTCGGAGCAGAGTCAAGTAGAGGACATACGAAATTGAAATAAAGTACAAACATGTTGCCAACTTTTTGCACAGCAGCAGCAACAACAACAACTGTCTGTCATTCAGTCTGTCGGCCTGTGGAATGGTTTAGGCCCATAACAACAGCGGCGGTGACTTGCGGGCGTGGGCTGGGAAGGGGTGAAGAGGCAGGAAAAAGTTTTAACTGATTACGTTTGCTGTTGATAATGTTGAGTGACATTTGGTTTGCGTATTAACTTAAGTGAGCGTCGGCAGCCGCCCCTTGCCCCTCCGGCCACCAGCATGCACATACGTACCTACATATGGACGCCACCCGAAGCACCCCTTCAGGGATCTTTCCGAGCCGACTCGGATTGCCAGGAGGTTTGTGTTTCAATTAAAAAATTAATTTTTTAATGGAGCCCTGCGGCGTGGGTTGCACTGCCCTGAACTGAAGCCGTCCTTAGAAATTAATGTTTACAAATAAAAGCAAACATTAACCAGAAATGGAATAATATTGCAAGTCGCGTATGTGTGACTCCCAGAGCTGTGCGGAGTTTCTTGAACGTTCAACACCCCGATTACTGCTTTCATCTCTGCTACCCTACGCCGTCGTAGTCCTCTTCATTCAAATCTGGTTGCTGATCAGGTAACAAGCAGTTAACTCAGCCATCCCGACATGTTCCAACACACGTAAATGAAAAACGAAAGCACAACTTGGGCGCACCGAAAACTTGCCCTTAACATTAGTCGTGTAATTGTATGCTTGGGCTCTAGAATCGCTCAGGGTGTATTTTTGTCGCGTTGCCAAATTCAAATATCTTTTAAGTCCTTTTGCCAAGCCAATAAACCAGCACTTAACCGCAATTACCCCCCGTTTTCGGCAAACAAGAGCGAGCAAAGAGCAGCGTTTTTTATGCCACTCTCGTGCTAGTAACTTCCTCCCTACCCTCCCTCGGCATGTGCCCTGCAATCAGTCTTCATTTACACTTTGCACCTGGGGCGCTTGGCTGGCTGTTAGTCTCTCAACTCTCGGCTCCCAGTTCAGCCCGGCAACACGAACGGAGTGCCCTGCAGGAGCGGGCAGGTGGGTTGGGTGTAAACCTAAACCGAGGTCCAACAACTTTAAGCTCACATGCAAGCTGTGTGGGCTCTCGAGGAGGAGGGCAGTTTGAGTTGCACAGAAAGAGTTAAAGTCCAACAAAAACAAAATTCTGTGTTGGTCCTAAAATCTGCTACAATCGGTTACTACAAGTTCATGGAGAGTATAAGTTTCACAGGCAGGATCATGCCATTAGGGATTCAAGGAAGATTTCAGCAACTTTTCGCTCTAGATGTTCTGCAATGATGGGTAGCTAGGTGTCTATCAACTGATTTCTGCCTCTGGTTTTTATTATAAAACTGTGTACAGGATTTGTTGTAACAAAGTTGCCCTTTCATGTAACGTGAACGAGAACGAACAGCAACCAGCCCGGGCCAGAGGCCTGGCGGTAATGTGAGGGAGCCAGGAGGCAGGGACCATTCTGATAATAGGTGTAGTCGTATTTCCGTTTCCCCATTCTCCATTCCCAACTACCGCTCTGGCCCCACTCTGAGTGAGTGAGTTTCATGTTTGGTTTGCCGCTTTTGCATTGGCTGTTGTTGTTTTCGAAGCTATTGTATTCACTTGACTTTTATTTCATCATTACAATTGTTGCTGCGGCATTGTTATTGTTAACATTCTGCCCAGACTTTACCCAAGCCCCTTCTCTAACCACCATTCTTGTCCTTAAAAGCAATGTTACATATGTATATAAGTGTGTGTATGTGTGCAAAAGGGGTTTCGGAAAAGGTTGAGACATTTAAAGTTCCACGAGGACGCAGCCGTTAAAGCGGAAATTAAATTGTTAATTGCAGATACGTTTTGGTTTAATGTCGAAAACAGATGTGTATGTTGATCTTCTGATTACCCTTGCAGTATACACGAAATTTCGACCAGAAGTTTGTAACATCTTTTTTTAATTTGATTAAAGAACAGTTTTAAACATATCTCGCAAATAACTGTTGACCGTTTTTTTTTCTTACGCTCTGCTCGCGAGAACAACCGAAAAAAACATATATCCTCGTTCTCTCTCTGAGCATTAAGAGATACGACTGACACTCGCACAGAGAGACTTATTAAAAGACCGATTGACTGAAACAGTCAACTCAAACGGTATTTTCAAAAATTTGTTTTCGTTTTGGAGTATTTAAATAAATTGTAGCACGGTCACTTGCTAAATTCTTTATTTACTTCATATACCACCATACATGAGCAAAAGACTTTTTTAATCGTCAGTTAAGAGCAAACCGTCCGTGAATGATCAAGAACCGAAAAATTTGATCGTCGGTAAAGCGCGATCAAAATTCAATTGGTTGCTCTCGGACTCTTTTCTCAAAATCTAAGAGAGAAACACCTATTTTTCGACCGCACGAATCGGTCAACACTTATTTGTGAGCTATGGTTTTAAGTACTGAGTGGACTACCGTTTCTCCCTAAAAAGCTATTAGACATATTAATAAACAGGACTAAACTTCTTAGCTGTCAGTACATAATACTGACCCACATCACCATTTATCGTGGTTATTATTCTGCTGATCCTGTAACCAGTTTGGATTTTTAGACCCAACAAATGTCTTCTTCGAACGATTACGATTACAGGATCGTTTTTTTTTTCTAAAGTTATTCATTAATTAGTTAAGAAATAATTTATTACAAAAATTTGTGGCTTTCTTCTCTGACTTGTAACGAATTCGGGTTGTATGTTATATTATTTTAGGAATTGGGTATTATTATCGACATAGAACAAGACGATAGTAACGACAAGCCCCGAAAGTGTGCCCACAGAAACTGTGAAGTCGAGCCGCAAAAGTTATAGTATCTTTCGACAGTCTGATTATTCATTAATCGAAAAATACTCTACATTTTGTTTAAAATGAAAATTGAAAGCTTCTAAAATAGGATCTGTTAGAGTCGAGCTCGGGGTTGATAAGTTTTCATAAGGCTAAAAGACTTTTATGTACTGTAACTATTTCTTGGCATTCAAATGTCGGGAGTCCTTCTGACTATTGCTCAATTTTATGACTTAGTTGCATTATGAGATGGTATTAGCAGTGGGTGTGATAAAGGTCGCTCTCTGATCTATTGATCTATTAGAGAATTAAATAATTGACAATATAAGACTGAATGGTTTAACACAACATATGTAGGTTTGGCGCCCCATTTTAAATTCCATATCTCATTTGTTCCTCGCCAAGTGTGTATACACTTTCGTAGTGATGGTCAAATTTTCAGAGTTGCACCGAAAAACTATCGCCTAACTATCGCCAAACAAACCTTGGTTAGATTTTAATGTGTTCTAACGGCGGTCCATTTGGGAAAATTCGGAACGGCAAAACCCTTTGGACAGTTTGTTCAACGGACGGTGAATGTGCTTTGACGGTGTGTGGGAAGACCCTATTAGTGACTGCGAAGTCGCTGAAAATATAGACTGTATGACTGAAAAGCCAGTTAGCTAAAGAGTTCGTTTGAAATAAAGATTTTTATGACAAAATTAAAACCATTAGTCTAAAATAATTAAAGATTATATCAAAGAATTCATAAGGTAAGGTCCATGTCATGCGATTGAGATTATATATAAAAATTAAGTGGCAGACTTTTCAGGTTTTACGGTTGAAAATATCGGAGATACATAGCCTATATTTTCAGTAATTCGGTCATTTAGTCGTAAAGAGAATACCCAGTATATTGGAAAACAACATCGATGTTGTTATCGATAGTCGCGAAATCATCGGTTTTTCCCCACCTCTAATCCACAGGCTGAAAAATTGTGATCATATGTTTTACCCACTCTGAGTGTTGCGGGATTTTAAAACTGTACCAAAGTATATCCAAGTATAATACTAATACAAGTAAAAAAAGCGTCAGTAGTTAAAGTCATGGAAATGTAAGTCAATCTAAATACTGAAGGTCTTAAATCTCTTTGTCAAAACCCACTTTCTGCATTCAATTTTAGTCAAATCTGTCGCGTTTGCCTGGGAACGTCACCTGTAATGATCAACATATTCGACAACGCTCCAGGACTAGGGATCTCCATTGCCGATATGATCACTCAATGCACTCCCTACGAGATTTCTGAAGAAGATTGCTATCCCGAAAACATCTGCGACTCTTGCCTGCACTGTGCTCGAACCGCCTTCGAGATACGCCAAACCATAGAGACGAGCCACCAGATCTACCTCCAGATGAAAAATACTAAAAATCTACCAGTCAACGTAAATCACGGTGTTGGCTTCAGCGAGAGAAAGAAAAAGCATAAATGCCTTAAGTCGTCTTCCCATAAAAGTATTCTTAATGCACACGCTGGAGAGAAACCGTATAAGTGTTATCACTGTTCAAAGTCATTTTCCGCGCCAATTTATCTGCAAAGGCACATCCGAACTCACACTGGAGAGCGACCATACAAGTGTTCCCATTGCTCAAAGTCATTTTCCCAGAAAGGTAATTTGACTGCACATAACCGAAGTCACACTGGAGAGCGACCATTCAAGTGTTCCCACTGCTCAAAGTCGTTTACCCATAAAAGTACTCTCAACGAACACATCCGAACTCACACTGGAGAGCGACCATACAAGTGTTCCCACTGCTCAAAGTCATTTTCCCAGAGAAGTACTTTGACTGCACATAACCGAAATCACACTGGAGAGCGACCATTCAAGTGTTCCCACTGCTCAAAGTCATTTTCCCATAGAGGTACTCTTAATGTGCATATCCGTAGTCACACTAAAGAGCGACCATACAAGTGTTCCCACTGCTCAAAGTCGTTTACCCATAAAAATACTCTTAAAGCACACATACGAACTCACACTGCAGAGCGACTGTAGAAGTGTTCCCACTGCTCAAAGACGTTTCCCAGGCAATCTCATCTGCAGAGACACATCCGAACCCACACGGGTGAGAGGCCGCATAAGTGTTCCCACTGCTCAAAGTCGTTTTCCCAAAAAGGTCATCTTAAAATACACATTCGAACTCACACTGGAGAGGGACCATACAAGTGTTCCCACTGCTCAAAATCATTTTCCCAACAAGGTCATCTTAAATCACACATTCGAACTCACACTGGAGAGCGACCATACAAGTGTTCCCACTGCTCAAAGTCATTTTCCCATAAAAGTTCTCTTAATTTTCATATCCGAACTCACATTCAATAGTTTGATTATTTGTCTTCTCTGAAAAGGACCAATCAACGCACCCCAAGCCACACGGAATACGCAAATCATTCAAAATTCTTTTCTTATTTTATAAATAACTGGATTGTTTCATAAATAACTGGATTTAACATTAATGATACCTGCGCATTAGCTTGCACAAATAAATAAATTTACTTGAATTAAAAGTTTGTTTTTATTCTGACGAAAATAGTATAATACTTTGGTATGCTTTGCTTGCCCCACTCCATTGAGCCCCTTCAAGCGCGACACGAAACACTCTATAATATTTTTTGAATACACGTAGAAACTGGAGAAAACACAAAGGCTGAATACTGGTTATGCTGATATGATACAGGCGCATTAATTATGGCCATATGATACACTAATGCAGTTTTCATTAATTAGCTACTTCATTAGAACCTTGAAAGGGTCCACTATATGTGTCATTTTGCTTGGAATATTTTGGTAATACGACTACGGCCACACCGACCGTAAAAGGTAAACAAAAGAAACGGCCGCCATTCGCGGCGTATTACTATGAATTTCTGAATTCGTCGTCGAAATATTCTTGCATAAATAAATGCAGAATCCTTTAAATTTATGTTTTTAACCTATAATGCTTAAAATTTTTTTAATTATTACCAACATAAAATTTAATTAATTTTACAGCGCAAGAACCTTGCCACCGCAGAACATATTATTTTTCCTTATTTTCCAATATTTTTTTCAGTTCAAAAACCAGCGAAATGATATTAAAATAAAATTCTCATTGTGAGACCATACTGTCAATGAGCTGGCTAATACATTTTCAATTACAATTTTCTTCATTAAACCCGTATTTTGTTATCGAGTATCTAGTATATATTATGTAGATCAATCGATTATCGCGGCAATGAAGTAGCTAATGCATTATTCTAATGCATTAGAGCGCCATATAGTCGTCTTGCTCGCACTTGTGTAAAACGCTATAGCGCTGTCAAATCTTTAATGAAGTCTCTAATTAATGCGGCCTGTGTCATATCAGCATTAGCAGTGGGTGTGATAAAGGTCGCTCTCGTTTGCTGCTCTAAATTGATCTATTAAAGAATTAAAGAAGGCTTGACAATACAATGTCATAGCCGTATAAGCATGTGCGTCATAATGCTTAGTGTGATCAAAGGCTAATGCGAACTTTATACACGGGGGTCTATCATTATTGCTTTATCTCCATATTTAATGTGTACGAGACGATTTTTACCCTGTAACCTTACACTTTCATATCCGTAGGTGTAACATCATTCTCCTTTTCTCTTAGTGCCACTTTTGACCTTTTCTGATTTGTTGTTGGTTATTGTTATAATATGTATGTGACCATGGGATTTGTACAGAATTTTGTTTTTAAATTATTGTAAATGCAATACTAATTTTGAGCTCATTGTAATGGGAGTGATGGACGCCTTGAGCATTTAATCGGGTTATAAGGTTGGTTAAACTATGTAAAAAGCGTAAATTTTATCTTATGTTGGGTAACATGTATATAAATTACTCCATGTAATTTATGATCTTATTTATATATGTATATGGGAGTTGGTATTCAATATATTCCGATTTTAGACATTTTTATCCCGAAACCTTGGAAACTAAAACTTATTTGCGTAAGAACGGCAGACAGTCATAGATACTTTGAGTTTGCGGTTGACGGTGATTAATATACATATATATTGCCTAAGAACATCTGTCTAATACTATAATATCATAAGATAAATAATAAAATGACGCTTGGTTTGTAACGAACGGCCAAACTAGCTAATCACTAATTGAGATTTGCTTAGAGAAAGAAAACCGAATACTGTGATGGGCAGAGTGCAGTTGGGCAAAGGGTTGTCTTGTTGTTACAATAAGTATGTAAGATAAAGTTATTGTAATTGACTTTCCTTTGCTGTCTTACCTCGTAGCTCATAACATGATTGCGGTCCATTGTTGGCCAGAAGGGGAAACCACAACTGTATAGTTAGTTACATCTCCTTAAAGCTCAAACAGTATTTGTGTATAGAAGCGGTTTAATTATTTATGCTTTGTACCATCGCGCCCCAGGAGTCGTCCGTCTGGGTATCGTCTGCTCCTGGATACCATAAAATGACCAAACGGTCGTCTGACCAAAAGCAGCATGAATGTTCTTGCCAAAAAAGGAAATTATTATTTTGTTAATTATTAATTTTGCAGTCTGTCTTGACCAGAATGAACAGTTTAATCGTTACACTTTGATCACCACTGGACTTTTGCGGTGTTGAGTTTAATACTAGTGAGGAAATCATAGTATGAAGGCAGTTTCGTTTTCGGAAAATGTGGGAAGACATAGAAGCTGCAACCCTTACTGCACACAGTTAGCATTGTAGATAGGATGCGAAGAAGAACTAACTCAATTTAAGGAAAAATACATAAATTTCATAACTTCTTCACTCAAAGGTAGTAGAAAATATTGTGGACGATTTTACATTTTCTCTACAAAAAAAGTTCTAAAATCTAGCATATTTACCGTGTTACATAATTTAATATCAATATTCTTGTGTTCAAACTATCCGTGATATTTTATTAATTATTATTTATTCGATTTAGTCAATGCAGATCAGCAACATTAACTGCCTTGGTGTAGCCAATTTTTGCAAGCAAATTTCTCAATTTCTTATATCTATTTTTATATTAAATACTTGTCATTCCTTCTTAATTTGAAGGGTATTAGCTAAACTCATGGTGTAGATCGGTTCGATTTTACATATTTTATTGTAACAAGAAAAGAAAGCTAACTTCGACACGTCGAAGTTTGTGTAGCCTTTAGCAGTTGCAATTGGATTATTGAAAATCGATTCATTTTAATTAAATTATAGAAAAGATATCAGAAGATCTATAAACGGTCTATATTTGTCCATAGAATATTATTATTTGATAATGATAAAATATCAAAAACAATAATAAAATATACAAATCATATAAAAACTGTATTTTAGTTTTTAAATATCTAATTTAATTTATACATTTTAAATTTATATGCTGAACAATCTTTTATTAGATGTACCTAAAGATATTATATGTACAGTTAAACATTCACAGCTTTACACGACATCTACCGATCTTTCCTATATGATAAAGACGTCCGATTTTTGTACAATTTAAACCGAAATTCTAAAATAATACTAACTTGCCATATCTCAAAAGAGATGAAAATTTGTTTTTTCGGTAAATTTAGGGAAAAATTCAAAAGTGTAAATGTAAAACAATAAATATAATATATATACACCCCTGTTCTAGTTTCCACTTCCGGCAAATCTACACGGATTGGGATTTCCAGACCTGTTCTAGTTTTTACTTTTGAAAAATCCTTAAGGACTCGTACTTCCCTCTATTAAACGAAAACGCACTGAAACTTTCCGCCTTTTTTTTAAAATACAATGTGATTTTTTATATTTTATTTCATTTCAAAGCAAACACCCATTTGTTAAGAGCGGCCATCTAAAATATTTGTGAATTTAAGGGAAATTAAAAAAATAAATCCTTGCTTTAACAATTCGCACACACTACTTTGTAGGTTCTTATCATATATGTGTATTTATAATTTATATTATATTATACATATGTGAGTAGATTATTAATGATCCAATTATGAAATACAAGGGTATGCAAACTTCGGCGTGTTGAAGTAAGCTGCCTTTCGTGTTTTTTTCTACAAATATAAATATACGTATGTGTACAATGTTTTACCTTTAATGTGACGTTTAATTCATAATTATGTTTATGATGGCGGCACCCTCCATCCTGCGTATTCTAACAAAACTAATTGCAGTTAGACTTGGCTTTTGTAGAGGAAAATGCTTTAGATTTTAATGCTTTTCCGCTTTTCTAATTAAAAGCTTGTCTACCCCACCCATATCACATTCACCGACTGAAATCATCAAGGTAGTGCTTGTATATTTTCAAGTAAATAGGAAACACCAACGAATTTAATTTATATTCATATACCTACCTGCACCTACAAGTTTCAGGGAACAACAGTTAATAAGCATACATATGCCAGAGACCTCGGCAGGGATACGAGCTAGATATAAACCCAGAACTGAGTAGCAGCGACACTACGAGATTTTTAATTACTCGTGCTCAACTTTCAAACACTGAACGCAGGACTCAAGCAGGACGAGAGCTCATTTTGGAAATTTTCATAATTACTCGCCTCCCGACGACTTGTTAAGTCAAACAGAGAAAGGGAAAATCGGGTGATTGAGAGAGGCAGAGGGACAGAGAAAGTCGGTTGAGTTTCGTGGGCGACTGCGGACAAGGACTCGGTGGGTGGCAACTGATTCACAGCACTCACATGAACGGCGGCCAGAACGGAATAAACTCGTGCACAGGTCCACTCACACAGCCTCACCCAGCAGGGATATTTTCAGGTGTGTGTGTGTGTGTGGCTCCTGTCGAGCACCTGCCTGATATGGTAAGTGACTGGGCTAGAGGGAGGAGTAGCGTAGATGGAGGCGAGCAGCACTGAGAGCAGAGTTCCAGAGTGGCCGTGCACTTGAAACTAAAGGCTAAGTAGGCGCTTTTATTCAAACAGTCCCGCACAGATGCACCCCAACAACTCGGCCTATTTGGGGACTGTATGGGGATGCGAGTGCAGAGGTTGTGCCGTACACATCCGGGAAATGTGAAATGTGAGTCTCAGGCTTGATGGGTCTCTTTATACCTGGCAATGCTCTGGTTAAGTAATTAAAATTATTTAATTTTGCTTATTTGCATGAATTCAACAAATAGAGAAGATGTTGTTTTTCCTTTATTTATAATATATAGGGTGCACCAATAACCACTGGGAAAATTGTTTCGGTAAACCTTATATTTTGACTTATGTATAAATTTATAATAATTTTTATAACGTTTCATTTGTGTATATAACCGTAACAGTTTCGTTACAGGTTTTTTTTTTAAGAAAATTGTAATTGGGACCTTTAATAAATGTTAAAAATTTGGTCACACAAATCAGTAGTTTTTTTTTAGCTGCTTGCATATATTTAAAAAAAAATAATAATAAAATATAATATTTTGAGTACAATTTAGTTTTGCTTATAAGATGCTTATTTGCGTCTCTTCAGCTGTAAGTTATGGCTACATTGTCCGACATTGCCGATCCTACAATTGTTCGATCCACTTTTTTAACTTTGTTACCATCAGTTTTAGCTAAATTTCCAGATAGGAACTCTATTGAAAATAGCAGTAACGTTTATTGGACTTAGATCGTTCTTTAATGGTCACCAATAACTTATAGCTATTTTACTCTAGCTTTTTTACAAATAGTATTTCAAATTACCATTCGATATTGTGTTCTAGTTATTTATTGGTTAAGATACTATTTCCAACCCAGAATATTATAAATATGATCGATGTCTTTTAAAATATAAGAGTGTTTCGCCCGCATCCAAATCAAATATAAACATCTATACAAAGATTAAGTAGAAAAAATTGCATTGTCCTTTAAAGACTTTACTTTTAAAGATTGCATTTTTGATTTTAAGGTTAATAGATTATTAAAATATATATTGAAGCAATCGCTTTTTCAAAGTGCATTTAAGTACATACATATAGCTGTATCTACTTAGCAATATCTCGTTACTTTTTATATAAGAAAGTCCTGCTTAAGCTCATAAGCTTGACAAATAAGTGCAAAAAGGCAAAATGGGGACTTACCGAAATTAATGGTGAAGGCCAAATAAAAAAGCAACCAACGGATCAGCCAAAAGTATGCATACAAATTAATAAAACTGGCCATGTTGAACGTTTTCTTTAAAAAAGACTCAACCCCATCTTGATGTGTTAATTGATTAAACAAGTTTGCCTGTTCTCCACACAGATTTTACGACTTTACTCTTTCGTTACCACCCCATGTAAATGGGGTAAAGCTAAAAGCATGCGAATTGTTTACACGAAATTTCCATTATGTTTACCTAGCCGTGAGATGAAGATATATGTGGGCTGAACAAAGAGCCAAAACAATGGAATTCATTTCTCTCCCTCAATAGGCTGCGTCTAATCAGTAGCGGGTAACGGCAGACTAAAGTACATTTCTCAATTTCCGGCGAACCTTAACCTATAAGAAACTATGTATTGTTTATCGAGGAGGAGTTATAAAAAGTTTAAAGAGTTTCTTAAATAGGTGCATAATCATCATAGTTTCTGCTTTAGCCTCTGACCATTTTAGCCTGACATTCAGCCAACGTTTAGCTCAACCAATTATTCGGGCTTGGGCATGAAGTCAGACTAGAAGGTGTGGTCTGGCAAATGCAAATCCGTCTCCTAGTACACCCAAAGTTTTCTGTTTTGCTCAAGTAACCAAACATGCCCAGCACGGTAATTTATTGTGACCGAACTCGGGGATACCCTACTTAGACATTTTCATCATGTGTCTCTTGCTTAGCCATATAACTTTTTTCAGTCCACGGACTTGGTTTATAAAAACAGCAAGCTGGGGCAGGAAACTCAGCAAGTCAGGAAGTCTGTCGACGTGAACGTCGTCATCGTCATCATCAACATCCTCCCTTCAGTCGCTGAGCCCCCTACGTTTTTGTTACAATGTCCTGGGCTATTTTGGTTGAATGGTCAGAAAAGTTGCAGACAACACAAACACAGCCAAGGCAACCAGAGTGAGCAGTGGAGACGGGAAAGAGAAGGATGGGGCTAGCTGAAAAGCTTTTTGTTTTTGGTTGATGGCAAAAAAGGAGCAGCTGAGCATTGGCCCACGTGTGTGATGTCCTGTTGCCTATTCTCTTGTTGGGGGCAGGAATAGCAATAACGAGCGGAAAATTAGCAAGAAAATAAATCGATATTTACTTGAAGTGCGTTAAGGTCCCTTATTAAAGATTTACTGTGCGAATTTAAGCGGCGTCAGGCACTAGCGCTGTTTTCTCGAATTATCTATCATGTTTGACATGTTGTTTAGTTCCAGTATGAAATCCACGGGAAACTTTTTAGAATATATATGTACATTCATATAACAATTTTTCAAAATTTAAAATGTTTTAATAAAATTATATTATAACTTATATAACTTAAACAAACCCCATTAAAATAATATTTTATTAGTTATGTAGTTTTCTTTTTGGGCCCAAAGAGTTGTATGCAGACAGCTCAAAAACTGGGAGGCTATTTTGAGTAGACTGGATTTTTCTAATAAGAGCCTGTCAAATGTTGGCCGGCTGTAGTCTCCAAAAGTAATGAAGTCCTATTTTAATGCATTCGTGGCCGCAAAATAAGGATTTTTAAATATTTTTAAGTGCTGTCAGCTGTTGTGGCAAAAGTGTTGTGAACACGTGTGGTGTAACAAATCTTTACCCTTCGGATAATATTTTGTGTAGTTGTAAATTAAATTAGAAACAAGAGCATTTTTAAGCTTTTCCTAATATCCGTTCTTATACTTTTAAAACATACTTAGAAACAATTAATGTTCCTAAAACATCAGAAAATGAAGGACAATTAACGTTTGCAATTTTATATAATCGCATTGAATTTTAAAATAAAAAGTTTATGGACTTAAAAGTAAAATCCAAAATGAAAAGTACGGTGGAAAAAATGCTGGAATTAAAATTCAATTAAAAAAAACTTCTTAATATTTTTAAGTCAAACCAAATACATTGTGAATATAAATCTATGCATAATACATTCAAATTGATTAAATTAAAATCTTTAATCCCGTTTTACCGAAATCGGGTGCGAATTCTTTACATTTTTGTAATTAACTTGAAAACGAACAATTGTCCAAATTCGATCTTAGCAGAAATTATAGTGCTAAGCAAGAGTTCAAAGTTTAAAATTTTGTAAAATTAAATTCAAGAAGTTATAATTAGATCCATTTGTATGCATTAGATTAATGGAAAGTTAATAATTAAGCTCCAAACTCAAGCAGGTTGAGTGTTTCTATTATTTTTTCAAGACTGTACTTAGTTTATCAGTATGTCATTACCTTATTTATTCGTTTATTTGGGGTTATGTATATTTTATATATAATATAACTCACTGAAAGCCAACAAATAATACAGATTTTTTTATATTTTTTTACAGATAGTATCGATTTACAAAGTGTTGTATTGCAGTCGTGAATAGCTTTTAAATACTAACTACTTGAGAGAAGAGATCATGTTGGCCTTTCACAACGAGCATATTGCCAGTAAGTATACAAGAAACAAAACCAAAAACAATGTAATGATTTAAAATGAAAATGAAAATTTGCATCTTAACCCAAATATAAAATATAAAATATAATTATGGCGATAAAATATAGTTATTTTATCAAAAAAGAAATTACGAAGTTAGTTGAACTAGCTGAAAAGAATTAGGACCTTAGTTCAGACTTTCAGGACTCTAAAAGGAGGATTTAATTCAGGCAGATACACAAACAACTAGAAACAGATTCTCATTTAAGAAAAGGCAATCTATATCTTGTTATAATTGAATACCCTTTGGATCTTAGGTGGTCAGGTAGTGAATCTTTAAGCTCCCGCTATTGTTTCCATTATTTTATTTAAAGGGAGGCGTTAGGAAATCGTCCAAGACGTCTTATATTTACTATTTTTTTTAATGATTTATACTAAGAAAGGATGAGTTCTTTTTTTATTTGTTAATCTGCCCGTGCGTCGTCTTTGTGACTGCGACCCGTCTCTCTAGGGGGTGGCTGTGGTGCAGAAGAAGTCTGGCGTGATGTCTCCTGGCGGTCTTATTAAGGGCATCTCCAAACATGGGGACTTGGAGTTCTCTGTATATGTCCAGGTACCTGATATACCACTCGGCACCGGTGATACGACGCAGTAATTTGACCTGAAACACCCTGAGACGGTTGGGCTGCGCCTTCGAGGTTATTCCGTATTTCAAGATCAGCGCAAGGATTGCCAGGTAGATTATTCTCTTGTTTAGGAGGCTCAGTTTGCAATATTTTTAACTTTCAGTTTCTTTACATTTGAACCAACTGATTTTTTGAAAACCGTAGTATGGAAAAATTAACAATTGAACAAGTTTAAATGTCAAGTTCAAGCCTATCTAGATAATATTTTTGACTTGTAAAAACGAATTAATTAGTGGCTTTTTGTGTACATAGTAAAATAAATGTGGTGGGAAAACTAACCAGGGAGCCTCAAATCAAATAAATTATTAAGCGAACTGCCGGTAACGTTTTAAGATTGCCCAGTTACCTAACCCTAAACATAAACTCCATCAAGGATAACAATTTCCTGTGTGATGGAAATGGTAGGCAGCGAAGAATAACAGCGGCTCAAAGCTGCACTTAAGATATTTAAACGAAACGAGCACGGCTCCTTTTGTGTATGCAGAGGGCGAGACAGTTTAATGGGCCCTGCTCTCAATAATAGCTAACGGCTGGCGCTCACCATCAGCAGCCCTCGGAGGCGTATTTAGGTTTAAACACATAATAACTTAATACCTGAAGAGGAAGTAAAAACCACACAGTTGACGGGGTTGCTGTTAAGCACGTGTTATTAATTATTTACCTGAAGGCCTTTGCCATTTTAGAAAGTTTAAGCTCTGTGCTGTTAATTCGGCTTTTGTTTCTCACAATTAAAGGTGTATAATTCAGTGAAGGCTAACAAGCCAGCAATTTGGTCAAGGTACTTGTATTATTTATGAGACTTTCGTAATAGGCAAAGGGGAAAAAGTAGCCGTTCTCTTTCAAGAAAGTGTATCTATGTATGTATGTATATCTCTAGTGAGCGCTCATAAGGATACGTGGAAAATCTATAAAGAAGGCCAGCAATAAAATAGTGACATCTATTGATTTTATAAATAATAAAATAAAAATTGTATAAAAAATAAAATAAAAAAAGGAAAACAATGCCTACATTCAAGTTATCGATAAGTTTTTTCTGTATATTCCCTGATTTTTTAGGTACGTTTTCCGTGAATATTTTTGTATGATTATAAAAAGAGCTTTATTTTTTCCATTAACTTTGGTTATTGTTACTGCAAACCGCAAGAAAAGCTAAAATTTGGCCCCGCCAAGGACCAGTTATGAATGGGGCCGGCCAACCACCTCCTGCGGTCAGTGGGTTGGTAAAAATGATTCATTAGCGTTCAACTTGAAAGTTGATATGTTGCAAATAAGACATGAAACCGCACTTTTTCTTTTGAATGTGAAAAGTTTTGAACGGCAACTTGTAATATTGCCTTTGCGGGGCATTACGACAGCCCCACGGGAAACATTTTCACCAGAAAAGTGGTTTATGTGGGTTAATAAATTTTAAAACCTTCAGGAGAAATTCAAGGCATGCATAGGGGTACAGGTATATTTGGAGGTTCCAGCAATGAGTTAGACATACCTACTACGTACATCAAAGGAAAAAGTTTTGTGTCGTAAAATTTAGAATTCAAAAATAATGTTTACTACAAAGTTCATTTCTTTAAACGTAATAATTTTATTTCATGCAAAAATGTGAATTATGTCAGCTGTTAGTGATAAAAGTCTTGTCTGTACTTTTAATCCGGTTTCCTAATGGGCTTATGACATTGTAATGCTGTTTTCATTAATGAGCTACTTCATTAGAACTTTGCAAGAGACAACTATATGTGTAATTTTGCTTCGAATATTTTGGTAACACGACTACGGTCACACCGATCAAAAAAAGTAAACAATAAAAACGACCGCCATTCGCGGCGAATTACTATAAATTTCTGAATTCTACTTCGAAGAATTCACGCATAAATGAATGCGGAAACCTTAAAATTTATGTTTTTACGTGTGTAAAACGATATAGCGCTGTCAAATCTTTAATGAGGTCTCTAATTAATGCGCTAATAGTATAAATAAAATCTATTGAAAGCAATTGTTATACAAAAAAAAATATACATTTTAAAAAATGATATCTCGGAGATAGAAATGTGTTGAAAAAAAAACATGGCTACCACGCCTTAATTACTGAAACTATCGGCAACTGAAAACAGCTGTTCCCATTTGAACTGCTTTTACGATATTTTCAGTCATTTAGTGACTCCGAAGTCGCTGAAAATATCGACTGTATGGCTGAAAAGCCAGTGGGCTAAGGAGTTCGTTTGAATTAAAGATGTTTATGGCAAAATTAAATGACCATTAGTTTAAAATAATTAAAGATTATCAGGCCTGCTCCGGTAATCGTAAAATTTTTTCGATTTCGTTTTGGGCGAAAACGAACCGTTTTCGTTTTTAGCTGCTCCGGTTTTCGGCAAATTTCTGCTATCGGATGTTTCGTTTTCTCATCGTTTTTCACTGCTCAAGCAGCTAACTTGTGTTGTTGGTAATAAGCAAACAACGTAAAGTACTGCCTATTATATTTACAATTGCCCTTTTTCTAAGCCAGAAAAAGGCAAAAAATGGTAGAATTAAGCAAATCCAGGCACCTAAGATGCTGCCACACTTTTCACAGTTTTAATTCCGGTGGTCTCAAATAATTATTTGGTTAATTTGGACTATTTAAGTAGTAAAATTAAATAGCATTAATTATAAACAACTATTTTGGCGGTCCTTTAAAGTTATTAATGTATTCATTTATATTTTATAAGTATTTTTAACTGGCTGTTTCGTTCCACCAACAATATGGCAACCTTGGCGATAACTTTTTGCGGTGAACTTATCGGCCTATCGCCAAAACGAGAAAACTGTTGAACACGGCAAAAATTTTGTTGTCAAATCTGAGGAGGGGTCAGAAATAAATTTTTTATAAAATAACTACCTGCCAGAATGATCTTGTGGTGGTGTGGAATAAACATCAATAGACCACTGAGTAAACTATTTTTTTCCCTTTGTAAATAAGATCTGATTTCATATAAAAAAAGCCATTTACTTTTCATTCCGGCCAGAAAAAGGTGCCCGTTTTTCAAATCGAAAAAATCTTTCGATTTCGACTACCGGAGCACCAAATTCTTGGCGTTTTCGATTACCGGAGCAGGCCTGTATATAAAAAAATTCAAAAGGTAATGTCCATGACATGCGAGTAAGATTTTATATAAAAATTAAGTGGCAGACTTTTCAGGTTTTACGGTTATGTATCGCCGATATTTTCATTAATTCGGTCATTTAGTCGTAAAGAGAATACCCTGTATATTGGAAAACAACATCGATGTTGTTATCGATAGTCGCGAAATCATCGATTTTTCCCCACCTTTAATCCACAGGATGAAAAATTGTGATCATATGTTTTACCCACTCTGAGTTCTGCGGGATTTTTAAACTGTACCACATATATATACAAGTATAATACAAATACAAGTAAAAAAAGCGTCAGTAGTTAAAGTCATGGAAGGGTAAGTCAATCTAAATACTGAAGGTCTTAAATCCTTTTGTCAAAACACACTTTCTGCATTAAATTTTAGTCAAATCTGTCGCGTTTGCCTGGGAACGTCACCTGTAATGATCAACATATTTGACAACGCTCCAGGACTAGGGATCTCCATCGCCGATATGATCACTCAATGCACTCCCTACGAGATTTCTAAAGGAGATTGCTATCCCGAAAATATCTGCGACTCTTGCCTGCACTGTGCTCGAGCCGCCTTCGAGATACGCCAAACCATAGAGACGAGCCACCAGATCTACCTCCAGATGAAAAATACTAAAAATCTACCAGTCAACGTAAATCACGGTGTTGGCTTCAGCGAGAGAAAGAAAAAGCATAAATGCCTTAAGTCGTCTTCCCATAAAAGTATTCTTAATGCACACGCTGGAGACAAACCGTATAAATGTTCTCACTGTTTAAAGTCGTTTTCCCATAAAGGCTATTTTAATGTACATATGCGAACTCACACTGCAGAGCGACTGTACAAGTGTTCCCACTGCTCAAAGACGTTTTCCCAGAGAAGTAATCTCAATACACACATCAGGAATTGTATTGTAGAAAAAACATACAAGTGTTCTCACTGCTCAAAGTCGTTTCCAAGGCAATCTCATCTGCAGAGACACATCCGAACCCACACGGGTGAGAAACCGCATAAGTGTTCCCACTGCTCAAAGTCATTTTCCGCGCCAATTCATCTGCAAAGGCACATCCGAATTCACACTGGAGAGCGACCATACAAGTGTTCCCATTGCTCAAAATCATTTTCCCAGAGAAGTAATTTGACTGCACATAACCGAATTCACACTGGAGAGCGACCATTCAAGTGTTCCCACTGCTCAAAGTCGTTTACCCATAAAAATACTCTGAACGCACACATCCGAATTCACACTGGAGAGCGACCATACAAGTGTTCCCACTGCTCAAAGTCATTTTCCCAGAGAAGTAGTTTGACTGCTCATAACCGAAATCACACTGGTGAGCGATTATTCAAGTGTTCTCACTGCTCAAAGTCGTTTACCGATCAAAAAATTCTTAATGCACACATCCGAACTCACTCTGGAAAGCGACCATACAAGTGTTCCCACTGCTCAAAGCCGTTTACCCATAAAACTACTCTTAACGCACACATCCGAACTCACACCGGAGAGCGACCATATCAGTGTTCCCACTGCTCAAAGTCATTTTCCCAGAGAGGTACTCTTAATGTACATATCCGTAGTCACACTGGAGAGCGACCATACAAGTGTTCCCACTGCTCAAAGTCGTTTTCCTATAAAGGGCCGTTGAATGCACACATCCGAACTCACACTGGAGAGCAACCATACAAATGTTCCCACTGCTCAAAGTCATTTTCCACGGGGTTTATTCTTAAAATACACATCCGATCTCACACCGGAGAGCGACCATTCAAGTGTTCCCACTGCTCAAAGTCATTTTTCCAAAATGGTCATCTTAAAATACACATTCGAACTCACACTGGAGAGCGCCCATACAAGTGTTCCCACTGCTCAAAGTCGTTTAACAATAAAACAGTTCTTAACGCACACATCCGAACTCACACTGGAGAGCGACCATACAAGTGTTCCCACTGCTCAAAGTCATTTTCCCAAAAAGGTCATCTTAAAATACACATTCGAACTCACACTGGAGAGGGTCCATACAAGTGTTCCCACTGCTCAAAATCATTTTCCCAACAAGGTCATCTTAAATCACACATTCGAACTCACACCGGAGAGCGACCATACAAGTGTTCCCAGTGCTCAAAGTCATTTTCCCATAAAAGTTCTCTTAATGTTCATATCCAAACTCACATTCAATAGTTTGATTATTTGTTTTCTCTGAAAAGGACCAATCAACGCACCCCAAGCCACACGGAATACGCAAATCATTCAAAATTCTTTTCTTATTTTATAAATAACTGGATTGTTTTATAAATAACTGGATTTAACATTAATGATACCTGCACATTAGCTTGCACAAATAAATAAATTTACTTGAATTAAAAGTTTGTTTTTAATCTGACGAAAATAGTATTATACTTTGGTATGCTTTGCTTGCCCCACTCCATTGAGCCCCTTCAAGCTCGTCACGAAACATTTGATATTAGATTATTATTATTTAGATATTTGCAAATTCACAGATTGTAAATATTCGATCAATACAGACGCAAATATTTATTGTTTTCCTTTTCTTATATATATGTATATATATATTTTTTTTTTTTTTTTTTTTTTTTTTTTAAGTTTACAACTTTTGGTTCGAATACACGTAGAAAATGGAGAAAACACAAAGGCTGCATTCTGGTTATTATGCATGAATTTCCGTGGGTACTACTATTATGATACTAGCGCATTAATTATGGGCCTATGACATTTTAATGCAGTTTTCATTAATTAGCTACTTCACTGTCTCTTTCAAGGTTCTAACTTGAAAGAGACAACTATATGTGTAATTTTGCTTGGATTATTTTGGTAACACGACTACAGTCACACCGATCGAAAAAGGTAAACAATAAAATCGGACGCCATTCCATGTCGAAGTATTCACGCATAAATGAATTCGGAAACCTTTAAATTTATGTTTTTATTTTTCCTAATTTTCTAATATTTTTTCAGTTCAAAAACCAGTGCATTGATATAAAAATAAAATTCTCATTGCGAGGCCATTTGAGTTCCGCGCTCTAATGAGCTGGCTAATACATTTTCAATTACAATTTTCTTCATTAAACCCGTATTTTGTTATTGAGTATCTAGTATATTTTATGTAGATCTATCAATTTTCGCGGCAATGAAGTAGCTAATGCATTATTCTAATGCATAATCGCACTTGTGTAAGACGCTATAGCGTTGTCAAATCTTTAATGAAGTCTCTAATTAATGCGCTAATGTCATAGCCGCATAACTGTGCGGCATAGATCAGATAATATAATATTCTGGAAAGTTCAACCACGTCGGGTATAGGGAGTCTTAATGAATAAAAATTGTATTAATGCTGCGTTCTGGGACAAGAATTAGGAATTGGGAAAATATAGAAGCTTTCAGGCGTTACAAGACATTTCATGTCAGATACAAAAGTGGAAACATGTAAAAATAAAATCTCTTTCAAAATCTAACAACAAACTAGTGCTGGAAAAACATTGCACAGTGGTTGGGCTTGTATGGAGACGCGGCCAAAAATACTTCTAGTTGATTAATCGTTACGAAATTTACACCAAAAATCAAGAAAAATGTTTTAAGTATATCTACAAAAAATTGCCTATATAGCACGTCTACATCATATAGCTGCCATAGAAACAATATGTTAAAAATCAACATTTAGTATGAAAAACTTTTTTGTTTTTCAAAATATCTTAACCAATTTCACAGATTATATGTTTGGTACAAGTTTATGCATTCTTACTAAATTTGGTTAAAATCGGATATCTATATCTTATAGCTCCCATACAAAATTTTAATTAAAACTTTTTTTTCCAAGTCAAAAACTAAATTTTTTTATCTCTTAATGACAAAGTTGGTGAAATATAAGTGCCCAGAATTAAAAAAAAAAATTATAAATTTATATATTGTGTATTTTATTTGTCTAGCAACAAAAGTACACAGCTAAAGGGGTGTAAGGTTAATTCGGTGCAAAACTGCCCACTTTTCAAAAAAATCTTGTGACGAAACGGCTGAATTTAGCTTAATGAATTAAATACCATATAATAACACAACATATAAACCATTTTTTTTTAAATTTGTGTATTAAAAAATATTTACAGGCCTACGACTAATAGCGAATCACTTAAGTCCCACAAAAAAAAAAGTTTGTTTTCGGTGTACATCCGAACTGTCGACAAAAACATCCGATATCAAAATAATTTATTGCATTCGTTAAAGAATAAGTGCCCCAAGGTACCCAGATGACGTTTTTATTTTTAAAATTCTTTCCCTATTTTTGATCAAAATTATAAATCAACACCCGAATTCTTGCCTAAAAAATTAAGTTAACTTGTTAAAAAAAATATATATTAAAATTAAAAATTTTAAAAAGCTTAACGTGAGTATCTGTGTAGTTAATTTAAAAAGTTATATTCAAAATTTCAAACCGATTGGTTAAGTTGTTTTTAAGTTATCGTGTACACCCATTTTCAAAATGGCATTTTTCAGGAGAGCGAGTTAAACTTTGGGATACTCATACAACGAACACCAAACGACCTCCGTTCAACTACCCATAACTTTGTCAATTTTTTAATAATCGATGTAAAACTTTCACACAATATTTATAAGATATTAAACCTTTATTTAAAAAAAAAAAAAATACGAGAAAAAAATATTAAAAACCTTACCCTCACCTGTGTTAGTATTTTTAAGATTATAGGCACATAGGCAAATTTCGGCAAAATTTTTTTTCACATTTGTCACCTTAAAAGCTCGACAAACACATTGGCATACATATGAACTGTAGATTTTTGTGGGGTCACAACTATAAATTTACCTAAACATAAAAAATACGTTCAAAATATTGGCAAAAAACATGATTATTTCACATTAATATAATGAAAACAATAATTATTATTAATATATAAAATTGTGTCTCATTTTATAGAAAATACCTTGAACTTCAAAACCCATTACAAAAAATATTAATATAGACACGTAATAAATGACCGGACCACTTCAAAGTTCGGTTTCGTTGTGAAACATTCGCGATGCGCGTAGCTGCGCTTTGCAAATGAACACGTCTTCACATCTTTAATTCTATTTTTAGAAAGTCCTGTTCGATTTTCAAAAAAATCTGGTATGACACAAGGAAGTTTGGACATTTAAGAGACGATTTTTCTACTTTTCGTACATATTTGTTGAAATAATTTTTTTGATTTTTGGCCTATGGGCGCCACCACTGTGCATTGATGTTTGTGAGTACTTTCATAAAAAAACATCGAGTAATAATCGATGTTTGAAAAAGACAATTTTTTTCTACCTCATTTTATTTGATATTATTCAGGGAGTGCTCATCGCTGGAGTGTTTGGACCAATACTCATAAAGCTTGGACTCCAAAGCAATTGCTGCCTGATCGGCTTTCGGGCTCGACAAAAAACCCAGCTTTTTTAATCTTGGATCTTGTATGCCACCTTATTCTGCACCCAACACCACAAATTAGATCTAAAATGGAAAGAAATTCATATAAATACTTAATTAAAAATGTATTTATTTTTTATATAATATTTATATTATTATTATTATTATATTTATTATTATTATATTTATTAAAAATATAAAACACTTCAAAATAGAAACTTAGCAATTCTGGCTTTTTGCTCGGTTTTTAAGTGACAGTAGAAAATAATCGATGTTTGACAAGTCCAACATTGAGTATATCGAATAAACATCGATGTTTGTTCCAGTACTACAACAAACTACAGATAATAAAAATATTTTACACCTAAAGCTTTTTCAACACGAAAGGCAGCAGTAACCTGTAGCTGTTCTATACAACGCAACATATACGTGAGTGTAGGAGCACGGGGGTGATTTTTAATTAATAAACTCATTAGGTACAGGTCTGGTCAACTCTGTGAATTGCTCATTTTAATTACTGGCAGCTGGTATTCACCCCTTACGATCACCATCCCACCGCACTCTCGGCTACCGCCCTTCGTCCTCCGTCCCTTGGAGCTGCACATAATTTCCTGGCATTTCAACAATGTGCCGACAATTTTTATGTTGTTAGGCGACGCTGACGCCGACAGTTGGCAGGTTGTTCGGTTGGTGCTCTTGCACTGTTTCCTATTGTTGTTGCCGCTGGTCGCCTGTCGTTCAACTTTTGACGTGTTGCATGCTGTGGCCTTTTGAGCGGCCAGACAAAAGGCCACCGGAAAAGACAGGGAACAGGGTAGTCCGCCTAAACGTGCGCGCGTTTTGGCTAAAAGTTAAATATAATTGTTGTTGTTGCTGTGGTTAGCTGGGGCTCGGCAGGGACAGACAGTCGTTGAAACGTTATAGGCTGCAGGAGCTGGAGGAGCCGGAGTTGGGGCATGACCACATGTCATAGCTTGGCTTGCACACTCGTATGTGTTGCTAAATCGGGTTAGGCTGGCGAGAGCCCTTCGCCCTTCCGGGAAATAGGTGCTAGTTGAGCAGTTAATGAGGACCAGAGACAGGGTCCCTTGCCGACCTGACAACACCTCAGAGCCACCACTTCCAAACAATAGAAGGCAGGCAGCGGGGAAAATTACACGGATTTATGAAAACGGCCACAAAACTGTGCTAAACACGTTGACGCGTTCTACACGCAAGCCCACACGGTGCATATTTGTGTTTTCCATTCCTAACGCGGCAACCATTTAGTGTGTAATGGAACAAATTATTTTAAACTTAATTAGGTAATATTTTAATGATTTTGTTTTTTCCAGGCTGCGCTTTCCTGACATACTTCAGTCCGGAGAGCTCCGCTACACCTGCGACATCGCCCACGACGGCGGCCCAAACGTCGCTCTATAATGACAAGCAATCGATAACAGGGGTAAGTGCCAGATGCCCTTTACGTAATTCCGCCGTAACGTAGCTAGACTTCAATTTTTTAAAGACTGCACATTGCCTGTGTACAGATTGCATTATAATTTAATACGATACCCCACCAAGTAAATTGTAATGTAAAGATACACGCCACAATTTTATTTATAAACGTTAGTTTTATAAATTTTGTTTGGAAGTACTTTTGTTTTTCTGCCTTGTCAAATGATTTTTAATTCTGTCATTTGTAGTACATTTCAATTTGCATGCCCAGTAACAAATTGGCACAATCCCAATATATTGCCCCCCATTTTGTTGTTTGTAGAACTCGTCGCCACCTACACTGTGTATTGTGTTGGGATTTATCGAATTATTGCCATTAAATAAAACAATTATTTTATTTGCCCTTTGATTTATGTTTGTTACCGGTTTAGTTGTAAATGGAATGGGTAAACATATGTTTTGTCTTGTTTAATATTCTCTTGCCAGTGGGTATGATTGCAATACAGAATTTTTATTTAAAAGTGGAAATTTAGTTTAACATAGTCCATTAGAGCCTTTTATTATTGACGAAAAACTACATATTTTTATTTGTTGCCTTTTCCAAACTTCATAACTTAAATATAATTTTGCGTAAAAACGACAAAAAGAGACTCGACAGAGAATAAAACAAAACACAAATCGGCAAGAAGGAGTTTATTGAATATTCAAAATGTTGTGCTATGCTAGGGAAACGGATAGACCCCGGCACAACCCCTCCGAGATAGATGGATAAATGGCTGGTCCCTTCAATCCCATCCCATCTTCTTGCTCATCTTTTTGTTTTCATCCTTTCTTTGTTTTCCCTAACAAACACTCCGAGGGAAATTTGTGGCTGTTTTTGTGTAGAAATTTATTACATTTTCTTAGCTAGGCCCGACAGGGTTGCAGGAAAGAGTTTTTCTTTTCACTCGAGTTTCGTTCAGAACTTTTACCCTTGTCTAGTCTTTTTCTATCCAAGTGCACTGCCAATGACTTTCTATGTGGCAAAAAGTTGGCTGTTGCTGCATGTGTGCTACTTATTAAAACTTGAGGAAGAGACAGAGGAATTTTACCTTTGTTCTCGGGCTCTGCTCCATTGTTTAGCAGAGGGAGACGATGGAACGGATCCGATTTTCCTGTTGCATAATAAGGAGACGTTTTATTAAATCGGTGCGGGTCATTCCCAAACAAACACTTTGCTGCTCCTTTAATTAAATTATAGAGTGCCTCAATAAGAGAGGCATCCCTTGTATTCAACTTCCATAAGGACTACTTTTACGTAGAAAATTGTGAAATCATCCTGAGGTCTATATGACTTTAAGTTTTTTTTTTGTGAGCCTCTTTTTAAAAGCGAAATGTAAAAGGGAAACCGTATAAAATAAAAATAAAAATGCAAGCTGTGTTTGGTTCTGAAAATGGTTGAAACAGCGCTCTCCTTTCGTGGCACCTGGCAGTTACATTTTATCTGAATCTTATGCGCCGAGTTTTTGTACATATTCAAATTTCCCATGCGAGAAGGCGGCGGCGTGGTCGGGATTTTAGTGACAAAAGTAGTTACTTTTCTGTAGAGAAATATAAAATGTTCTTACCCTAATAGATACATCAAAATATTTATAAGAGCCTTTTTTGTCTTGAATATTTACATATGTTTATTTGTACCATGTAAAGGGAATGAAAAAATTAGGTGTACAGTTAGCAAAGCAGTAAAGAAGGCATACTCGTATATTCTTGATCAGTCGTTGATAGTTGATAGCCGCTTCGATCTAGTCATGTCGTCTTTTTGACGATCTAGTCCCTCCGTTTTATAGCAAACTAAATGAATCTTTTCAATTTGCAAGGGTATACAAACTTCGGCGTGCCGAAGTTAGCTTCCTTTCTTGTTTACATATACAGTTTTACATTTTTCCCAGCATCTACTGATCGTTTATATTACAGTTATATAACATAACGTCGTCCGAAATTCTTAAATAATACAAAATGACCACATCTCAAAGAAGATGAAAATAAGTTGATAAACACCTAAGTTACAATTTTGCCTAAAAATTTTGCGATCGTTGTGGCGGCTATATCATATAGTCCACACCGGCGGACAGGCGGACGGACAAACTGACATGGCTAGATCGTCTTGGCTGTTGTTAATGCTGATCAAGAATATGGGCTCGAAATTTAAACTGCAATGAACCAATAAAAAATGTAAATCGGTAAATTGTCTGTATTTTGAGGTCTCGTTCAGATAGACAAACACATGCTCATCGCTAGATCAAGTCTCCTGGAGATGCTGATAAGAAGATGCATTCTTCTGCCTATTAGATCAAAATGTCTGTTAGCTCTAATTCATATTGTTCGTCTTTGGTACCGGGTATATAAACCAAGAAAAAAATGAGGGAAATAAAGAAAAAAAGGATTTAACCGCAGCCTGCAATTAATCACGTTTGCCCCCTGATGTAGCACAATTCATGAATGAATGGATTTTGTGGCTAGTTGTAGAACTTTGAAAAATGAACGACTTGTAAATATTCTTACAGAGTTAAAAACTGAAAATATATTTGTTAACGGATATCAATTATTTTTTGCGTTCACTATTGAGTACTAATAACATTTTTCAATTCCTTTAGTTAGTCTGTCTGTCGCCGTGAGGAAAAAAATATTTCGAGCTGTTAATTTTTAAAAGGTTTTAAGGAAAGGGTATTGTAGATGCCAATGATATGACTGCCCACCTCTTGGTGTTCTCTCTCTTATTCACCTTAACTTAGTGTTGGCTGCATAAAGAAGCCAAAATTTGTGTTGTTATTCCAGACAAACGCTGACTTAACCGGACCGAACCGCAACTAACTGAGCCAGAAGCCGGGCTATTGCTATCGGCCCTGAAGCCGGTTGGGGCTATACGCTTCAGTTTGGCAATTTATCTGGCCCCATCTGCATTTGTTGACTTTGCGCCGGCGATTGGACCGCAGTGTACACTATTGTCCCGCTTTGCATAAGAGCTAACGAACTAGGTTTTTTCGGCATTCTTGGCCTCTCGGATCCGTCTGGACGTGGCTATGTTCTAGAGAGTGTTCGTGGAATAGGAGCTCTGAGCTCGGTGTTCGCTTCATTGGCATATCAATCAACGGCCAAAAGCGGGAAACGAATTCACTTACTCACACCAATGGATGCCATGGGTAGGTTTGCTGGGCGAGCGAAAGGAAAGCATGTTGGGGCCGCTCAGGATTTTTTCTGCCTCGGCCGGATGCCATTTTAATTAAGTGTTGGCGGATGCCAGTTTCCAAAAAAAAAAAAAAAAAAGAAACGAGACTAGGACGACAGCCCAGCCCAGCCAAAGGAAGTGAGAGAGTGTGCATGCCTCGTGTTCCGGCCAAGAGGAATTTAAGATAACAAAAAAATATTGCCACATAATATGTTGAAGGGGACAGGAGATTTCTACTGGGTATTTCACGCCCTTCTGCGGCCGACAGTTTTATTATTATTTTGGGAAAATCAGTTAATTAATTAAGATATCCAGAAGTGCCTGATACACGGGACATGTACAAAAAACTATCATCGTTTAAATGAATCCTCATCCTAATTTAGAATCGATAGAATATCTTTCGTTAGTTACCTAAATCCTGTGCGTACCAATATCACAAAAAATGTATTCATTTAAACAAAAGAAACTAAGAATCCAAGGTGCAACAAGAAGGAAAGCACTTCGAAATTTGTGAAATTTGCTCCATATATAAGAATCGATCCATTTCAAATAAAAACAATATATACTTTAAATCTGCTCTTCAGCCGATAGGGTTGATGACAGAAGGGATCTGCCGAAAATATTTCGACTTTATTCTCCTATACTCTCTCCATGTCACATCAGAAAAGGCGAGTGAGGGTCAATAGAGCCCCCCTCATGCATGCAAGATAGCCAAGAATAAGGCTAAGGGCAAAGTTGACCTTAACGACGTCAAAGATAAGACTAGATACCCTACGGAGATCGCAGAATATGAGGGGAGATCGGTCGCAGGATGTAAGCAAGAGCGCACCGAAGAGGGCGAAGGTAGCAAGTTTAGAGCGACAACCTTCAACAGTAAGGCAAAGTCAGGCTATAGCTTTGGTCGACGAGCTCCACGACGACGGTCGCCTTCTGTCAGAGACCACACAGGTTGGCTATTATGCTGACAGGCCCGATCCCCACTAAGGATGAGAAAGAAATTAAGTCGAAACAGCCGAAGTCATTAACCAACGTTGCCTGCCGCAGCTAGAATCACAAGATTATAAGATCCGGTATGGGTTAAGGAAAGCCAAAATTAGGTCGACCCGGATGGGATACACCAACAAGCTGTTGAATGATATCATTGATATCACCGACGACAAGTCTCCCGACACAACCCCTCCAACGTCGGTGTCGAAAACCGTGTAAATTAACCTGAAACACATCGCGCCCGCTTTAAAAAATCTGACGAAACTTTTCAGGAAAAAGGATATCTACATTGGACTAATACAGAAGCATTGAACCAGAGACGAGCAGAGAGAGCACGCATAGAAGAATCATTATAACGCTTTTCTCTGTTATAATCTTAGCACTTCGGATCTAGCAGTGGCCAGATTCGTGGCAGAGGATAAGGACGGAGTAGTCATCGCCTCGGCTTACATGGCCCACAACGAATCGGCAACGCCTGATTCGGTGGTCAAGCAATACAAAAAAATCCTATATTTTAGATTTGAAATAACGTATATCTTAGAGTAGATGAAAATACGTTGAAACACAAGGAAGTAAAAATTTGTATACCCTGCCAGGGAATTATACTTTTAGTCACAAGCTTGCAAGGGAAGGTGACATTTCTGACCCTATAAAGTTAGCTCCCTTTCTGGTTTTTATTTAACAAATTCACTTAATTTTGTAGTCAAAAATCGGGGTTTAGACTTCCAATTTGTATAAAAAAAACGAGGAAAATTATAAAGAAAAAGAACGCTCCGTGAGTACCTTGAGACACTTATCCTTTAAATTATGCATTCTAATATTTTGATATCGGACATTTTTGTGGACAGTTAGGATAGATAGGATAGGATTTTTGTGGGACTCGGCAGATTCGCCATGACTCCTAGACCTCTACATATATTTTAATACAAAAATTAAATAAATATATATATATTTAATTCATTGAGAAGCACATAACAATAAAGTAAATCTAATTAATTATGATCTGCTCTTTTTAAAAGTTTCGCGTTTATAAAAATCATATCTGCGTTAGTTAGGCTTGGAATGATTGGACTTAAATTAAATTTTGTGTACTATCGATATAAAAAAATGGCTAATGGACCCTCTCTCTTTTTTTTAAACTTATTTCCTATTTTGCTCTTTATATATGATTGCTTTTTTCTGTATTGGCACTCCTGCATGATATTTTAAGTGTGAGTCATAATTGAAACACATACCATTAGTTTATTTTACTTAGAATGAATAAATATACGGCAAGGTAAGTGCGATATAAAAACTTGTAACGGAATGTTGAGTGTCTCACAGTCTATAATCAAGTCTTGAATTTTTCATGTGTTTCAGGGAATATAGAGAGATCCACAAGTCAAGCCAAATTGACTTAAACCAATTTCAAGGGCGATCCTAAGTTACTTTTAAGAATCAATGTTGTTATTGATTTCAATATATTGATGTTTTTCTATATTCGATGTTGTTGTTGTTGATGTTGTTTCTACTTCTCTATTGCTACTAATACATATTCATAAGCCTCCTTTATACCGCAAGAACACTTTCGTTAATCATGATTTTGATTTAAACCATATCTATAATCTATCGATGTTGTGCTCCCCTGCTCATTGATGTTGTTGGTTTGGCATTAATAAACATTCCTATTATTTATTGTCTGTGTGGTGGCCTTTGCTGCTCTGGGTCATATTTCATGTTGTGTTCTCTCTTGAAAATCTCATCAATTCTCTTGCAGGTTGCCCACCCTTGCGGCGCTTTAAGCGTGCGGCGCATGCGCTTGCAGCAACATCCGCCCCAGCAACAGCAACATGCGCTGCAGCGGCAATCCTTTGGTTTTCCATACCCACGACTGGGGTTGACCCAGCGCCTGCAGCTGCAACGCCATCAGCAGCAGCAATCACACCCAAATCAGCGTGAATTTGGCAAAACTCAGGCCATTTGCTAACAGCAATTTTATTCCGTTGCCAGCGAAGCAAATGCAATGTCGGCAACGACTTCAGCAACAACATCATCAACAACATCATTAAGAAACTCAACATCAACCAATCGAGGAACATTATCAAGTGCAACAGATCATCTGCTGCAGTCGCAGAAACTGCGAAGGCAACTGAAACAAAGGCCGAGCACAATTAGTCCGAGCAAATTGGTAGGTGACTCTCAGTCCAAACCAAACCTTGTAGCCCAAATCGCCGTAAAAACTCAATATACTTTTATAAGGACGATCTTTGTAAAGCAGAATCGATTAGAGTTAAAATATGTTTGAAAACAAACACTATCCTATTCCCTAGTTAGAAAATCATACCACTCTTTAGAGTGATAGCTTGGCTATCTAGTCAGGTGGATGTCAACCATTTAACTTTTTATATGTATACTATATTTTTTTACGTACAAGTATTCTTTTTGTAATGAATTTCTATTATTTCTACATACTTCATGTTCCCTAAAAGTTGATTTTCTTTTCAAAATATATTCAGGGGTACGGTTAATTCGGTGCAGTACGAGCCACTTCATCCAACACATCCTAATTGTCTACAACGCCATCCGAGTTAAAAAATATAATCTATTAGTAAAAGGATAAATACATATTTCGAGGTGGCGTTTTAATGAAAAAAATGCTTTTTCTGCATTTTATCCAAATTGGAAGTAAAAACTTCTATGATTGGGTATAAAACTTTACTTTGTTAAATAAAAAATATAAAAAAATATAAATTAAAAAAGTCCGACGTGGGTACCTGTAAAATCAGTTGAAAAAGTTATGTGGTGAATTTTGAACCATATTTTAAAGTACGTAAACTTTGTCAATTTTTTAATGATCGATGTGAAACTTGGACACAATATTATTACCCCCCTAACCATTCTTAAACATTTCCCATTTCATAAATCATAATCATAAAACAATATTAAGTGATCTTGAACCTGCCTACTCCTACAATGTTTGTTTTTCTGGAAACCACGTCTGTCAATGTCAGATCATCTATTGGGCTCTAACTTCTACCTCCACCTCATCTTACGGTTGATTAAGATTGATTTCCTTATCTGTAGGAATACCTATTACCGCCACAGAAGTAAAAAAAGGGTTATATTCGGTTTCTAACCTTAATGTTAACGTGCCAGACTGTTCGGAAAAGATAGTCGCCAAGCAAACTTATCGTATAGCATATCTATTTCCTACACTGCAAAATGTATGTGAACATGTAATAATAACATAGTGTGTTATTCATTGCTGTAAGGCGCAACGACATGCTTTGATTCACTAATCCATAAATTAAAAAAAATTACATCATAGTCGGAAATTACTTATTTATTTACAAGAAAGAGAGGGGGTTCGACCATGGATACCCTTGAGGACTGATGTTCTCTTTGCGGCCCTGATCGCAACCATATAAAATGGCTGTAAGTCTCGTCTTCTTCTGCACTTGGCTATCGAGGGCAAGCAGCTCCTTTTCCGACCCGAAATGGGGTCTGGGTTCCTATCACTGTTAGCTTTCACATCTCACAACAAAATGTTCCTAGCCGGACTTTATTTGACCGCGAAAATTGTGACCCAGTAGAACCTGTCATTAATCATCAGTGTCTCTTAATTATACGCACAATGCTGATTATATCACTCAACGCTTTTTAACTAGACCTTATTAAAAAATGTATACAGAATACATCCAACCGATGAGATATGTACATTTCCAGATACCTTGGCTTGTCTTAATAATAACCCAACGGTATCGGCAGGCATTTCCGCTCCCATTGCAGGATGGCAGATATTTCAAAAACATTTAATGCCTTAATACAACACACCCTGAGTGAGGCTCAAAGTGGGTGTTTAGGTGTGTGCTGGTCTCGTCATCATTTCCATCAGGCTGTATAGTTTTTAAAATTTCAAATTTATGCAAATTTATCCCGAGTCTCGACGGCAGACGAGCACACGGCATTTTGCTCATGAATATTTGTGCCGGCGCAAAACACAGGAATGCCCGTACGCTGTCAACCGCCCACTCAGACACGAGTGTACGTACATACATACATACATATATAGGCCCAAGTGAAATTGTGCTTTCCTCCCATTCTGTTTCGATACGGAGGCGCCCCTCTTTCTCTCTCTGCGTCCCTTGACTGGCATGTGTGAGAGGCATACGTCGTCCTTTTTGTATTGCCGTCAATCATCAATCAATTTTTTCAGCAGATGTGCGATTCCCTACCGTTACTTCATCATGCTTATGGACGCGTCGTATTCGAGCCAGAAATATCGAAGGGCGCACTCACCTAGGCGTTCCTTTTGCCTTTGGTAAGGCCATGCCAATTTAGCTGTTCGAAATCCCTCCACACACCTGTGACTCCCAGCGCTTCACCAGTTTTCGATTCGGTGGAGGCATAATTTAGGTTGCTCAGTCGCGTTTAAATGTACATCACGTAAATTCCGAGGAATATGCTTCTGTGCCCTTCTGTCCATCCCTTGGTTCCCAAACTTTTTTGTATGAAAGTGTGTGAGTTTAATACCCAAAACTGGCCGTTAGTAGTTTTGGACTGAGTAGCTTAATAATCTTTAAAGAACTAAATTTTCTTTTGATTCTTTTGGATAACCCTTCCGGATATTATTATCATTTATTATTTTTTTTTTAAAGAAAGCACTTCTTGAAAAACAATCGATTGGACAAATTCCCACATCATTACGAGTTGACAGCACTTGTGGTATAATTCTGACATTCGGAACGAAGATCCCGAGGCGCAAAAAATGCCAGATATGCATAACGCCCAAACCAAAAGGCATTTCTTACTCTTCCCTCCCCAGATTAGACGTAAACATAAACCGAACAACAAATAAATGGTGAAACCATATACACGTATGGAACTGGGAAGGTGGGATTTCTGGCACAAGGCCAACTTGAGGCGTCCGCACACTCTCATACAACGAAATAAACACATCACGAACAGGGCTGGGAATAAACAAGGACTGGAGAGCAAAAAAGTTCTTAAGTATTTTGTATTGTTTTCAATTGTTTGTCGGCAGCTGAGCAATAATATGATATTGATGAGAATGTACACGGAATCCCTAACGTTACATGTGATAAAAACGTCTGAACCCTTTGCACCCAGTCCTTGAAGAGTGAAAGAAAGGTTACGTTACATTTGATGCAAGCTAACAGCAAGACTCTCCGACCCTTTAGGGTCGTCTTAGGGTTCTTAATAAATTTTTGAAATCGTTTTTGTAATTACATACAATTTTAGTCAAGTTGGTTTACATATATTTCATACATATTTAATGCTTTGTCGTATCTTTTAAGTGATTGTTTTTGAAACATACCCCTTGGTCTTTTTTGTTTGTGCTTTAATCTCACGACAATAAAATTTTACAGCATTTCTCAGATACTTTATATTACTTTTATTTTAACGTAGGTTGAAGAAACCGCAAGACTCTCAAGTTTACTCGACTCTAACTTTCGTATCTACCCAAAGTTATTTTGTTTAGAATTTTTTTAATTGCATATTTTCTTTTCCAGTACGAATATTTACCTGTATACAGAATTAATTTAAAGAGCAATTCGCCCAAAGTGTACATAAAGTGGGGAGGGCTGTCGTAAGCTGAGTCATTTATTTATTTATGAGAAACTCACAAGCAAGCACGAGCACACAGACCGGAAGCGTTGTTGAGCCAATCCATTTACGTACCTCTTCTACATTTTCGCCCTCGACTCTAGGTAGTGGTTAATTAATTTTACACCGTTTATCGCTGCGTTTCACGGGCATTCACGTGGCTTAAGCCAAACAAATCAATCACTGTGGGATGTTCGGGTGAAAAGATGGCGCCAGTGGTTGGTGGCCAATTAGCAAAGCATACACAATACAGCCGATTTAGCATGGCGACAAGACGACGCCGTCGGACTCACAGGACATCCACGATAATGTCAGGGCGGTAAGCCGTTAAGACAGATGGATGAAGTGGCAAACATAGCAGACCAGTGCAATGGCGTCGACTGGCAACTGACATTTACAAATCAGCAGTCATTGATTATTGCTCTCGGACACACACACCTTATCGGACCAGAGATAGCCTTGTGGAAATATTTTTAAACAGCACTGGATAAGTCGATCTCTATTGGTCCCTCTTAAATAGTTCTCAATGTATTTACGAACTTGCTTAGGACCTATTTGGTCTTTAGATATTGAGTTAGAAAAAGTAGAAAAAGTAGAAAAAAGTATTTTAGCGTTGACCTTAAAATATATAACGTATATATATAATGTATATATATACACGTCCGATCCAGAGATGTTTGCCCTTTAGATATATACCAAAGAGTAAATATATGTCTACATTATAAATAGACAACATTTATCCGACGCAGGTGGAAAGTCAAATCTTAAATCTCAGTAATAAAGAAATAATCGATTAAATTTTGTTAGAACATTCTTATGTATTCAATTTGTATGTAAACACAAATATATACATATATTTTCGGTTATTTTTCAAAATTTTGAATAAGAGATTGCTCTCTGAAGTTCGAACCACTGTGATTTGGATATTGACAAATATTCAAAGCGGAGGCACAGCACAATTGCCCGAGTAAGATTGCCTGCAGTTTGTGTTAAATCAGCAACAATTGTTTGCATTGGAAGCCGGTCTCGTTCTGTTTCATGATGCCTTCCTTGAGGCTTTGGCGTCGTTGTGGCTCGGCTTCAGCTAAGGATTGGGCCTTGGCCAGCCGCCAGACGAAGAAGATTAAAATTTATATAGCAAACCTATCGGAGCAGATGCTGCAGACTGCAGCACATTGAAACCCTCACAGAATTTTTGGTATTTAGCATGGCCCTCCAGACCGCTTCCCTCAAAAGTAAAAAGAAAAAAAACTGGGTTAAGCATGAAATGTGTTGCGTGGCTGCCAATAAGCTTCCATTCAGCCATTTGTCAGCTTTGACCATCACGACAAAAAGAAAACGGCCATGGCAAAAATAGAG